GGTGTAATATATCTCGTTCCTTAAGCAATAATGAAATGAAAGAAGGACAGTAAATGAGTAATATACCTTGTTCTTTTAGCTTTTATGTAGATGAAACAAGCATGATGAATGTGTAACAGGGATTTTAGGATGTTGTTGATCATGATAAAATTTTGGGTGACATAAGAAGCATTTCAGGCAACTTAACTAAAAATTTGGGGCAATATAGCTCTGGTTTTAGATTACATAACTGCGGGGAAGATGACTTTTTGGGGACTTGACTTTAAACCTAATAATATAATCAGTCATCAGTTCGACATTAATAACGAACACTTACCGAAACTATTTTTCAAGATCATACAAAAATTGCTCTAAATGTTCAGCAACCAACAGTCTAGCAGTAGCTAGGTCCATACTTATAGTCTTGATCCTCTCTCCAATCATGCTGCAGTATGACATCAAAGCAAAGTATCGATTGATTTCAAGATAGTTCTTGGGCATGAAGTTTTTTTCACCCAAGTGTCTGCATAACCAACCAAAAGCCAAGCGCATTTGTATCTGTTTGATAAACCAATCAAATTGCTCTATTTCCATTCGTTTGTTGTGTTTGTTTTGTTCACGCATTTTCATTTCGAGAACATTCGAAAATCGCTCTTTTCGTGTTAAAGAAAAGGCAAGCAAATGGCTAAGAGAGAAGGTAAAAGCATCAATGAGAAGGTACAGAGGAATATTTGTAAATTAGCTTATATGCTGTCTTACCAGAGAAGCAAATTTCGTATGGTCCAGGTTGTAGTGCTATTAGCAATGTGTATTTTGTTCAGATACAAGTTTTGTTTCAATTCATAGTTTTATTTTTTTGTTTTCAGCTTCTTGAAGAATGTTTAAAGCAAATTGTTGATACTGAACATACTGCATCAGAAGTTTCCGAAGAGGCTTTCCTTCAAACATGTGATATCTTGAAGGAAAAAATGAAGCAAAGATCTGAGTCAAGACTGCATCCCTTTGCTATTTCTCAGCCAGTTCCTTTAACAGAAGAATAATTGCTCTCTGATTTTGGACGGTCTCCAACGGCAAGAATTTACCTCCAAGCTTTAAAACAAGTGAAAGAAGGCTTTGAAGTTCTTCAGAAGAGTAACTTTACTAATGAAAGAGGAATTACTCTTATAGCTCATGGGTATTTGACAGAGAATTCTATACTACAAGCATTTCCTGCTGTGTTTATATAATTCCAATACTGCCGCAATTATTTCAATCATGTGAGAAAACGTTGGAGAAAAACCCATATTTCTTTGAAGCCCTTGTTGTCTCATTTGCTTTGCAAGGTTATGAAAGAAAACTTTCTATGTAGGGTTCCATTGGGGACATGAAGAAAATCATGTGTATAGATAACTTAATTCATTTTATCAAGAATGCTGAGCCAGATTGTGTTCCCTCACAAGAACCCTTCAATGTCAATAAGAACTATAGTAACTGGCTTCATCTTTTGTATTACTTCTTGGCAGCAATCTTTACTGTTGGAGGGGTCTATGCGGATGCAGCCGAGGCTTACGAGAATTCCCTTCAGTATTGCCCAGCATATTACGAGTCCAAAAGAGGACTTGGCTATACATTACTGTTGCTGTATATTTCTAGATTACCGGTCAGTGAGGAGTTGAGGCAGGTGGTAAAATCCAGAGAAGAGTTGCCCAAGCAAACAATGAGTGAGAGGAAGATTCCAAAATATGATTCTTGGACAACTCAGCAACTGAAAGAAATGGCTGTAAAAGTGTTAAATGAGTATGTGGAAGAGGCCCCTTGTTGCCACAAACCATACCTGTTGGGGTCGACACAGAAATTTCGACGCGTTGATTGGACTATTAATCTGTCTTTAATCGCCAAGTTTCTCGTGCTTGGTTCGATCGGTGATCACTGGTCATGAACGGTGAAAACTGAACATAAAATAAGCAAAAATGACAAATAAACCTAAAGAAAACCTAAATAAACCTAAAGCGACACTAAAGAGCGAAAACTACTTACATTCTGTGCGATGCAATCGATGAGAAATTCAAAACATTTGCTCTATAACACTACACTTGAAAACACGTGGTGATCTGGTTTTGCTGTGGTCATGTGACCATCCGAAACTAACATGATATAAGTAGTCACGTAGTGTCCAAAAGGAAGTGAACGCAAAAATAAATCAAAATAAAATTTGGACTAAACATTCCGCCGGCCTTGGGACAACCCAGTAGGTAGGCCCAACGTCACTAGCCTAGACTAATTATTCTCAAGATCGTTCTCCAGTAGGCATAGCTTCTGAATAGGTCGGATGAACACAGAGTCCTTTGTCTTGACTTTCGCTGTGCGCACCAGGCCGTCGGGGCCAGGGAAGACCTCTAGGACTCGTCCAAGTTTCCAGCATCCTCTCGGCACGTTGTCATCAACTAACAGGACAAGGGCCTTCGGCTTCAGGTTAGGTAAGACCTTTCTCCACTTTCCTCGGGCTTGCAGGGTAGGTAAATACTCACGCAACCACCTCTTCCAAAATAGGTCTGCCAGAAATTGTACCTGCCTCCATTTCCTTCTGTGATACTGATCTGCTTTCTCAAATATGCCAGGGGTAGGCAGATAGTCTTCCTCTGCATTAAGAAATGCGCTGGCGTGAGTGGCTGAAGGTCATTTGGGTCGTCTGAATTGGCGGTGAGCGCTCGCCCATTTAACACTCGTTCAACTTCAGTCAACAGCGTCTGAAGAACTGCTTCCGTAACTACTTGGGTCCCTAGGATAGACTTCAGAACAGTCTTAGCACTTCGCACCATCCGCTCCCAAATCCCAGACATGCTAGAAGCAGTTGGCGGCTGGAAGACCCATTTGCACCCTCGTTGTAGAAGCTCTTGCACAATTTGTTGCTGGTTCCACTGCTCGATCGACTCTCTCAGCTCTCGTTCACCGCCGACAAAATTTGATCCTCTGTCACACCTTAGTTCAGTCACTTCACCACGACGGTTCATAAATCGTCGCAGACACATTATGAAGTCGTTTGTGTCCATCGAGTGAACCAATTCAAGATGTACACTACGTGTCGTTAGGCAGGTAAATAAGCAGCACCACCGTTTGGCTGTTCCTCTTCCATGCTTGACGTATAAAGGACCGAATAGATCCATTCCTGTGTAGGAGAATGGGGGTTCGTACGCCATCATCCGGCTTCTTGGCAGGGGAGCCATTTGCTGAGTCATCGGCTTGGCATTCAACTTCTTACAAACAAGACACCGACCCAGGACAGAACGAGTTAACACCCTTATTTGTGGGATCCAGAACGTCTCTCGAACCCTTGCTATGAGGTGTTCACGCCCCAGGTGACCAATTGATGCATGGGTGTGGCGGACCATCAGGACTGTCGCTGGATGATCTCTGGGCAGTATTATTTGATTCCTGGCAGTGTCAGCAGCTGGTGGTGATGCTATACGTCCCTTGACTCTCAAAACACCATGGTCGTCTTGCATTGGGTTCAAACTAGCGATCTTACTGGATCCCCTGACTTCGCCCCTGGTCTTTAGATCCTTGATCTCTTGATCGTAGGCTGCGTGCTGGACGATCTTTGCGATGGATAAGGTAGCAGCATCGTAATCTTCTAAAGTCAGATGACCTGTGTGGACAGTCTTCCGGTCACGGATGAAATGAGTGAAGCGTGTGAGCCAAGCCACTTGACGTCTGAGACGGTTCCAATCAGAGGAGGTGCTTATTATTTGTTGCATGGTGGTCTCAACAGGTGTGGCGGGGGGGCAATTAGACTGTACGCTTGCCTGGCGGGTCTTGACATTGGTGTTTATGTCAGTACAGTTAGCATGGGTTTCTTTCTTAAGCTCTAGGCCTTCATCGGGGACTTCTCGAAGGCTTGCGTTGGGCCAAAAGGATTCAGGTTGCCATAAGAACTCTGGTCCTCGTAGCCAGCGGTGATCAAGGTTTAGCTCAGAGGGGTTCAAGCCACGTGACGCATCGTCGGCTGGGTTCAAGACACCTGGCACGTGGTTCCAGTCGTCTGGCTGTGAGTTTCCTCTGATTTCTTCGACTCGATTAGCGACATAGGTCTGGAAACGACGCCTTTCATTCTTCAAGTAGTGGAGAACTATTTCGCTGTCTGTCCAGAACTTGGTGCTCTGAATAGGAAGGTCCAACTCTTCTCTCAGCATCTTATTCAAGCGTGTAGACAGAACAGCAGCTTGGAGTTCAAGCCTTGGAATGCTTGTGAACTTGACAGGTGCATTTCTTGTTTTCCCCACAACAAACGAGCAGTGAATAGACCCATCTGGATTCTCGACTCTTAGATACGCAGATGCACCGTAGCCAATTTCAGAGGCATCAGAGAAGATATGCAGCTGTAGTTTGCATTTGGAAGCATCTGTTCCAGCTGGCAAGTAGCAACGTGGGATGCGCAGTGCAGAGAGGGATGACAGCTGCGAGGTCCAAGACTTCCATCTGGCTAAGAAGTTTTCTTCGAGTGGCTGGTCCCAGTCTACCTTAGCCTTCCACATATCCTGGATAATTACTCTGGCAGTAAGGGCCACAGGCGCAGCAAAACCAAGAGGGTCATACAGGGAACAAACGGCGGACAGTACTCCACGCTTTGTTTCGGGTCGATTCAAGTTCTTGATGTCAAATCCAAGCTCATCTGTTTCAGCAAACCAGCGAATCCCTAGCGCCCTTTCCACTGGCAGTTCGTCTAAGTCAAGATTCAGATCTGGTGAGGCTCTTTTCTCGGTGGGAATGGTTGCCAAAACATTCTTACTGTTCGTCATGAATTTTGTAAGGTTGAAGCCACCGTGATTCAGGATTTTCACTAGGTCCGATGCTACAGTAGATGCTGTATTCTCCTCACTGAAGGATGGCAGAGCATCGTCAACATAAAAGTTCCTGTCAACAGTTGCAACAACTTGCGGGTTGAACCTTTCAGCATTGTCACTGGCTGTTCTTCTCAGGGCCGAATTTGCAACGCAAGGGGACGAGGTTGCTCCAAATATGTGTACTTCCATAACATAGACATCCGGGGGTTTGTCGTAATCATCTGTCCACCAGAGGAATCGTAGAGCTTCTTGATCTTGTTTACGCACACGCACTTGATGAAACATTGCCTCGACATCAGCGGCTACCCCTACATGCCCCTGTCGAAATCGCAGCAGCACACCAACGAGACTGTTTGTCATGTCTGGCCCTTGAACGAGATTCTTGTTTAGAGATGTTCCTTCATACTCAGATGCGGCATCGAAGACGATACGGAGCTTGTCAGGTTTGTTGGGATTGGTCACTGGATGATGAGGCAAGTACCAAGTTATCGAGCTTTCTCTAGCTGCTTCTTCAGGGGACAATTTGCGTGCATAGCCCTTCGAGATGTACTCAGTCATGACTCCACGGTACTTAGCAGCCATTTGCTCATTTCCTGCTTTGGTCAGGCGTCGTCTAAGCAATTCTGCTCGTCTTTCAGCTAAAATGCGATTGTTTGGCAGCTTTGGCTGATCTTCCTTCCATAGTAGGCCAACTTCATAATGCCCGTCTACAAAGGTAGTAGTTTCTTCAATGATTTTTTAGGGCTCGTTTGTCTTCCACAGATAAGAGCTTCTCTCCTGCTTTCAATGTTCCATAGTCTTCGATCTTCCAAAACCTTTCAACAAAGTCGTCAGGTTTGTGTCCAACAGAGATGAAATTGAGCTCAGCTCTTCTTGTCCCAGCGATAGTCAATGGACCTGAAATGCTCCAACCGAGAGGGTACCGATAACCGTAGGGGCCGCTCTTGTTGTCTTTCGATTCTGACTTCCTTCTGCAAGTGTGCAACAGGGACGTTACTCCCCACAATGATCGAGACTCGTTTAAAGTCCACCACTGGGAATGTAAGGTCTTGAAGGTGCGGATACTTATGGACATCTACTGTCCCCGGCAAAACTCGTTCTGATTGGTTCAGGTCAGGGAGAACGTAAGCTTCATTAACATCAATGTCTTCACCATATGCTTCTACAGGACTGAGAGTAAAGGAAACGCGTCGACTCTCCACCAGCTCCTCACTGTTCGTAATAGTCTTAATCCCGATTTGCTCCGAGATCCCTTTCAGGTCAAGATGATCAGCAAGCTCTTTGTCAATGAGGGTATCGGTACACCCATTGTCAAGAAATGCATATGTAGAAAGGGAACCACCGTTCTCTGCAGTAATGGTTACAGGAACTACATTTAACAAAACTTGGGCTCTTGTGGTGCTGACACCGGCAGATGTAATCGAAGTCTGTGGCCTGTCGCTGGGCGGCTGTCTTGTGCCTTGCTCCATTTGTGGTTGCCGGGTTATTGGGTCAGCAGTCGGAGTACTGTATCGGTTAGTGGGGTTATGAGTGTTCTTGTTTCCAGGAGTTCTGCGTCCATTGTTGTTGTCCCTATGCAGTATTGGTAAGTGGTGTCCAGGACACAGAGAACAAGCTGGTGGCTCAGGACAGGAAGTACCACTGTGATCGGGATTATGGCAACCACAGTTAAAGCAGAACCCATACGATGCTGCGTATTGTCGACGCACGGCTACACGGTCACACTGTTTGACGATTGGGCACTCCTGGAGTCGGTGGGGGAGTAGACTTGCAAATTGCACAGTTTGCAGAGTTCTCTTTCTTGGGGGCGTTCTTAAGCGATGTGGCGTTGATCGTAGCGTTTTTCGTGGGCAGGTCCGATCCTTTAGAAGCTTTGGGGGGACTTGTTTGTCCTGTTTTCTCCCTTTGCGGCTGCATTCCAAACACTGGGTCATTCCTTATTGACGCTTGCCTTTTCACGAATTTTGCAATGTCCTTTAGTCGTGCAGTTCCACCACGGCTAACAATCTCGTAGTTTTCGGTCTGCCACTTGGTGATTAAATCATTTGGGAGTCTGTTTACGATTCTTCTTAAATTGGTAGCTACGCTTGCTTCGCGTTCCACATCTCCCTTCAGAACCTTGGTTGAAGTGTTCAGCTTCTCGGCAAAATTAAGCAGACCCATGTTGTCACCATAGGCAAGTTTGGGGCCTGAGACTAACTCTTCGATGCAGGCTTGCGTCACCTGAATAGGGCGACCAAAGCGTTCCTCTAAGATCTTCATTAGCTCACTATAGGAGGAGCCTCGGTTTCTTTTGATGACCTCCAAGGCTTCTCCTTTCAGGAACTTCGGTAAGTACTCTACCCGCTGCGCATCAGTTAGTAGCTCGCTTTCAAGGTGAGTATGTGCTTGTTCTTTGAAGAACGGGAAGTCTGCTGGGTTGCCATTAAAGGGTGTAGGAGAGATTCCGTTCAGAAGCTGTACCTTCCACATGGCTGCTACATGGTCTTTAGGGGCTTGCTCTATTACTTTGTCTTCTGGCTGAGACTTAGGTCTATACTGGAAGGTTCGTGGGGCTTGGTATGGTGGCTGCTGGCATTCAGTGACTGGCAGTGCTCCCTTGTTTGCAGTATCGGCAATATTGGATTTGACCTCAGTGGCTGGCTTTTCCTTGCACGAACCAGGTGCTGTGTCTTGGGGGGTGGAGCAACTGACAGGTATAAGAGGCAGTGAAGGTTTGGGTGTCGGTGCTGGGATTTTTGGTGTTCAGGGGTTCTGAATCATCAAGTTGAATTTGAGGTGACTGTCCCAGTGGTTTCTCCTCAATGGGATAGGTTGTCTGAACAATATTGTCCACACCATTAACAACACCAGTTTCCTCGTCGAACTCATTTTCAATCTTCCAATCCAGTTCAGCTAGAACGGCTTCGTCCTCGAGTAGTCTCAATTCCTTCTTGGCGCTCCGCTCATGCTCTGCTTTGACCAATTCGGCTTCTTGTTGAGCCTTGCTCCTCGCCAACTCAGCTTCCTCTTGTGCCCTACTCTTCGCTAACTCCAATTTCTTTTTTGCTAAAAGCATGGCTCTAAACCTTTCTTTCCGGGACGACGAAGAGGATCTTGAAGTAGTGGAGCTCTGAGACTGGTGCGACTTGTGACTTTTAATGGAGCGTTCATCATCACGTTCTTGTGTTTCTTGATCAGTCCGTATTTGCGTTTCGCATTCTTCTATTGTAAACATCATCTGTTCTTTGAGGGACTTGAACCTTTGTTGTACTTCTTGTAGTCGTTTGCTGTCACGTATGCCTGGCAGGTACTTCGAGTGTACAGTCTCAAAGGATTTCCAAATGATAGCTAAATGATCTACTATTTTGCGGGCGGACAAGTGCTCCCAGTTAGTGTAGAGGAGAGTTTGGAGCTGCTGTGTTTCAAAGGCAACTTCTTTAGATTCCTTGTTCCACAAAGATGCAAGTCTGCGTTGTTCCCTTATTTCGCGTTGATGCACAAGTTCACTAAAATCAATTTGAGTATTTGGTACGGGGTCCTGGCGTAGGGAGTATCCAACTGCTCTCTCTCGCTGAGTCCTCAGGGTCCATTCCGCGATCCACTATCGCGCGGTCCAGTCCAGAGATTCCTGCGATTCCGTTCGGTCGGTTCTGAGCGTTCGTTTTCTCGAAAATCCAGGTGAAAACACAGTTTTCTCTTCGTACTTTGCAGAATTTTTCACAATGTTGGGGTCGACACAGAAATTTCGACGCGTTGATTGGACTATTAATCTGTCTTTAATCGCCAAGTTTCTCGTGCTTGGTTCGATCGGTGATCACTGGTCATGAACGGTGAAAACTGAACATAAAATAAGCAAAAATGACAAATAAACCTAAAGAAAACCTAAATAAACCTAAAGCGACACTAAAGAGCGAAAACTACTTACATTCTGTGCGATGCAATCGATGAGAAATTCAAAACATTTGCTCTATAACACTACACTTGAAAACACGTGGTGATCTGGTTTTGCTGTGGTCATGTGACCATCCGAAACTAACATGATATAAGTAGTCACGTAGTGTCCAAAAGGAAGTGAACGCAAAAATAAATCAAAATAAAATTTGGACTAAACAATACCCACATGCTTACTATTATTTGGCACAAATTTCTTTACTTGAGCAAAAACTAGCAGAATTCAGGAAATATTATGAACAAGGCCAGGATGCAGAAGAAAAGAGACTTCCCTTTTTTGAACCAGTTTCCCTGCCAATGAAAGATCTCATGACTCCTGTTTACCAACTATTTGTCAATGTACAGAAACCAACTGGGTGTGGCAACAGGTCTTGCATTCGGAAGGTCAAAGAAAGTGAGCTGAAGTCCTGTAGTCGATGTAGGGAGCAAAAATATTACAGCAAGTAAGTACAGTTGTACAGTTGTATTACATGTAAGTTCCTCACAAAAAGGGGCATGATGCTCAAACTGTTTGTAATCTTTTGTTAAAGAATCTCTAGTGGTGAGAATGAGATACACTCAAACCCTCTTAATACCAATACTGAGGGAGCCATAGAAAGTGTCCATATTAATGGGGTATCTGTATTAAGTGGGTTGAATTTAGAGAAAATTTAAAGGCTAGGGACAAGGCAAACAGTCTGTAATAATATGGTGTCCATATTAAGCAGGTGTCTGTAAAGCGGGGTTCAACCGTACCAATAATGTCATTGCCATAATATGTATTACATTAAGCTGAATGACACCTTTCGACTTGCATACATGAAGGTCTATCCTACCCCATAAAACCCCTCAGTCACTAATCATGAATTGTTTTCATTAAATACTTGTATCCTTTTCACAATTTTTAGAGAATGCCAAAAAGCTGACTGGAAGAATCATAAAGCAGCTTGCAAAACAACTTGTGATGCTGTAGAAGTTTTCAAGTTAAAGGGCTAACTACCTGAAATATTCCTGTTGGTGAAGCAAATGACAGAAAAGTCAGGCTCATTATTGTTTCTTTGAAAAAACTGTGGTTACCTGCAGGGGTTTACCTACATCTACTTTGCAGGGTGAACAATGATACTTTTTTGGGACTGGTGCTTTCCCCCCATCTTGGACATTGAAACTAACAGAGAGTTGGGGTGAACTGATTTTAAGGGAGAGGTTTATGATGGGTTTAAAATAGAGGAGTCTTTTTTTTTTCTCTCAAGATGGAGGCCACTATATCTTAGTACCTTTGAGTTTCCATTAAAAAAAGCCTGAGCAGGGGGGGGGGGGGGGTTCAACTTGTCTGATATAAGTTGCTCAAGACTAAGTTCAATTACACAGCAATTCAGAGGGCAGCTTCATGTCACTTGTAGAAAAAATGACAATTTCTTTACTTATTAATTAACTGAAAAGAAGTGACTCGTGTGTACTGTTGAAGACAAGATGGTGAATATGAGATTGTTCATGTCTCAGTTTTTGCATAGTTATGTAATGAGCAGTGAGTTACAGTACTATATGAAGTAGTCAAAATTTCTGCCAGCACAGCTTTCTCTTTGAATTCAATATGAATGTATTGAAAGGGGTTTTATAGAGATATTACAAATAATCGGACAAAATATAGAGAAGTTGTAGTATAAAATCACAAAATTATATATGTAAGAATGCAGGCCTTGATGTTGAAGGTACTGTTATGAACTCTTTTTTCTTTCAAGTTGGTGAAGAATATGACCTCTGCAGATGACACCCACCTCAATCTCCATAATTCTCCGTCCCCCAGTTGTTCAAAAGTTGGGTAGCGCTGTCTACTGGATAAATCTCCATTCAGTGGATAATGCAATTGGTTTCCCTAACACTTATCCACTAGATAGTGCTATCCAACTTTTGTACAACTGGGGCCAGATGATTACTCAGCCTTGTTCAAGAATTGTTAAGTATATAATGGTAACTGAACTGAGTGGAGTGCAATTTGGTCTGAAATCATATGCGTGATTTCAAAATCGAGTTCGATTTGAAATTACAAGTATGATTTCAGACCAAAATTGCACAACATGAAGTTCAATTACCACTTAATTATAACCATTTTTTATTCTGATTCAGATGTGATTTAGAGCAAAACATAGTGTGATTGGTGGATAAATCACACTGCTGAGAGCCAATCAGATTTCGGGGATCTGGGATCACCTGTGATTTCAAAATGGATCCTATAAAATTCTTATATTAATTTAATTTGGACTTTTTTTTAACAGTAATACATTATTTATCTAATAAGTAAATAAATCTTATTCTATGATATGATATTATTTATTTTACTTATTTAGTAATTTGAATAGGGTCAGGTTATAAGCAGGATAATTTATTAATTTATCATTAAGTTAAATGATTTTTATTTTACAAAATGTTAAATAAACTAGCAGGAGTGTTTGTCAAGCTGAAGACACGAGGCACAGTGGAGTGTTTAAGGCTTGATAAATTACACTGCAAGTATCTTGAATGGCTTCAAACACTTCTGTTGTAACTTCGTTCATTCTTATTACAGTATTGAAGGTTTGGATTAGTTTGGCCAAAAAGTTGGAAGGTAGTCACTTATGCGCTCAAACTCATCGTTTTGCCATTTGGAATGTTCGTTATTTTTGCCCTGTTAAGTTCCTGGAAATCTCAGTATTACACATGGCCTTTATTTGCAAGCAGTTTTTGTGGAAAGCATGGGGTTGCCTAAGGAGGTTTTGTTTGTCTTTCTTTGGTTTCTTCTTCACTTTTTTTATGGAAGATCTTGCTGCCATCATTTATGAACAAGGAGGAAATAAACTGGGGAAAATGTGGCTTTGGAGGTGGGCGTCAGGCAGAAAGACGAAGACTGGAAGGAAGCATTTTTACTCCTCAAACCCAAGTTAGATGGTGAACACATCTACGAACTAGGTGACATGAAAAGGTAAGACTACAAAATCTTCATTTAATTAAATCTTTATTTACGTATGTATATCTCAATGCACTCAGCAACAAGATACAGTCAAGAAATTAACCAATACAGCTTTTTTTTTTTTTTCAAGAACAACGTTTTTTTTGACTAATTAAACCGACTTTTTAACGATTAAAAAGTCAACTTAGTTATTAAGTTGACTTGGATCAATTAAAAACTGGTTGAAGTGCACCAGACAATAACACTATAGAACTTACAATACTATTGTTTGGAGAAATTATCGGTGCTGAAGGCCAAAACATGTGTACTGAAAGAACCAGTTTCTGGCCCACACATGGTTTACTTCTATCTTGGTACCACCCATTTTACATGATTTGGACTTCTTGTGTTAATGACGGTGCCTCGTTTCGTCACTGAGTGTACTTACTTTACAAGCTGAGGAAAGTGAAACTCGGGATCTCAAAGCAAAGAGGTCTTAAATAGCAAGGGCTAGTCAATAACCACAACTACACAGGGAATAACCACTCAGTGTTTCAGTTTTCCGCAGCGATCGGCCTTCAATTTTGCCAAAACAAACAAAAACAACAAAAAAAGGACCATTTACTTGCTGCATTTTTAAAGCTCTATGTTCGAGCCTCTGAAAAATGCCTGGTTATTCCCAGTTTTCTTAGCCTGCGGACGCAGACGTATTTCCTGTCGTCGCTTCTCTCCACCCGAAAAGTAACGTGAGTTAATTTTTAAGTAACGTGAGTTAATTTTCGGGTGGAGAGAAGTGACGACCGGAAATACGCCTGTGTCCGCAGGCTACAGTTTTCTTAGCCAAAAACATTCAATAGCCCAGAACTACTTCTTTACACATGTATCTATAAACAGGGCAGAACACCTTTGTCAAGGCACTGTCATTACAAAACCTGACTGCAACAGAGTGTTATTAAACCAGTAAGGCGAATTTTAAAACCAGGCTCTCAAAAACGACGGAGTGAAACTAAGTTTCTACTGTTCCCATAATGGAGATGTGCTGCAATTGTTAAAAGAAGGAGAGCTCGATTGACTGCGGAAATACAACAACGATTACAGCCACCATTATATCCGGCGTAAGCCGTCTATCGCAACGTTTACATGCTTGTTGTCTGGTAATGATGTAGGTAGTCAGCGAATTAAATGTGGTTTCTTAAATCGAGCCAATTGAAACCAAAACTAATAAATATAAGTTATCAAAAAAGAATGTATCCTAAAGAATACATAACAGTTACTTTTCTATAGCTGAACATATTATACCCAAGCTTACTGACGTAGCGATTATAAGGGCATGTTCTCTGAATAGTTTTATATGCTTAGTTTTCTTGTTATCTACTTAGCAACTGCATAATACTAATTTTAGCTACTTGTAGGAAGTGAATGTTACTTTTTCCTTTATTGTCGAGGTAGGCTCCTAGGTAAACCTTTTCTGTACTTTTCAGAAAGAAAAGAAGTTGTTTCAGAAAGATGCTTTTGAAGTTGTTAAATCTCTTTGCGAAACAGGGATGACCGATGATTTTTCCAAATTCATCTTTTATATTTAAACACCAAAAATGGGAAAAATAATGCATTCCAAACTCAAAACTCTAAATCTTATTACAGCTTTTAATTGCCTTCTGCAAAATTCGTCTTGTTTTGTCCGAAGAAGTACAGCACTCTTGGGGCTGGTTCCTATGAGAGCTTGCCTGCGGGCGTTCAAAATTGGAAAAAGAGGTGTTCTATCTCTTTCCTATTTTAGTGTTTTCATTCCACTCATCAATTCATTGCCTTACGCTATATTCAAGACCAAGCACTGCACCTAGAGGTAAAGGATAAAAACTAGGGCTAACTTATTACGAGAGGTAGGGGAGAGAAAGACGATAAGAAGAAATTCGATAAGGAAGAAGAACTACTTAATCAATTGACAAAGTCCACAGCAAACCAGATGAATCACTACGGTAGTTTTAATTGCATAGGTCCACTCGTGATACCTAACACTTGGCCTGCAACCCTGCAGCCACACATGCCTGCATCCACTTTTATGTACCGGGGCCACCGCTTCGTTTTGATAAAGCTCCGCCAATTGGGACTATAAAACCGCATACAACTAGGAAATGCCTTTTTGTTCCCGTCTTCATCTTTTCTGCACAAAAGACGCCTATTGCTTTATCTTGAGGTTCGGGAACGTTGTTCAGCGTCTACTTTTTGCTAGGACATAACCTCTTACCTTTGAACGCGACTCGGGGCTTTCCTTTGCATTTACCTCTTTTTCTTAACAGTCTTCATCAAATACACTCCACTTTACTTTGGTAAGGCGCTCATTATATTATTTTGCGCTGACTGTATTAGAAGGTTAGCTCTCTGTCCTGGTACAGTTACCATTCTTGATAGGGAGCAAGATGATCAAGAAAAACTGTCAGTTTCTCTTCTCTCTTAGAGAACGTGGCCCAACAAAAAACTTTTTTGCTTGTAAATTTATGCAACTTTCCAAGGACTCCGCATTCCATTATCACGCTGAAGATTTCTGGACTTTGAATTCTACAATCTAGGGTAAGGCTTTTGTCGTAAACACCCATCGTCTGCAACGGGTGGCTATTAAGATTCTGCGTTTGAATCTTGACGATGAATTTTTCCGTGCCGTCACATTTGGGTTTTGGTCCTTTTCCAATACCTTTTAAATGAGTCCCAAATGTTCGAATTTGCGCTTCCCCTGGATTTAATAGTGAAAAGGTTTTGACCGTTACAGAATAGCGACTTTTCAAGGCGCTACATAATGTCTTATGTGTGGCCAAATGTTTTTCTCTGCATTCTCTGTTGCAATACGAGGCAATATGACAAGTAGGACACTTCACGAGGTGACGCACTTCCCCCTGTCGACGACAAAAAGTACAACCACTGTAAACTCGGTCAATTACCTCTTTCGGGTGATACATACCTTCTTCGTTGTTAAATACCTTGTTTCCGATTAGGATGGGTGGGTTGGAATAAAACTGTTTTTCCCCAGTTGGAAGACCCGGAAAAAATGCCCCTCCATCAGGTAAACGGGCAACATCATGCGTAAAACGGCTAGGAATCTGTTGATACTCTAACCATGGGCCGCTATGGTCTCGCACTGTGTTTGATTCTAGGTGAACCCGTCCGGAATAGTTAACACCGAAGAAAATGCCGCCACACTTGTTGCCAGAGATAACATTTCCTGTAATCATGGCTGAAGTTCGCGATTTGGCTAAGATTCCCCAGAATCCATTCTCAAAAATCTTGTTATCCCTGATCACAAGGTGAGAATTATCATCCAGCGAAAGACCAAAAGGCCCGTTGTGGTGTACATCGTTTTTGGTTATTTCTATT